AACACCATTTATTAAACATGGAGTCCTTTCCCCATTGCTTGTTTTTGCTGGGTTTGTCAAAGATCAGATGGTGGAAATGTGCGGTGTTTCTTCTGGGGTCTCTGTTCTGTTCCATTGGTCTATGTCTCTGTTTTGGTAATAATACCATGCTGTTTTGATTACTGTAGCCTTGTAGTATAGTTTGTAGCCTGGCAGTGTGATAACTGAGGTTTTCAGACTAGTGAAAATGCAAATATCCCACGATTAAAACCAGAAATACATTAGCTATAGAAATAAAAATATTTCTGTGCTATTGATAAATATCTACTTTGCTTTGTTCCTGTGCCTTAAAGCAGAGCTCTTAAAATATTCAAAATCTATCAAGTGATGAGCTTTTTTGTATACTAGTGAGATGACCATTAGTTGGAGATTGCCACCAACCATTGATTGGCATGGTTGCCAAGTGAACCTACCCTGTGATTAGAGGGTTGGAATGTTCATCCCCACCCCAAACCTCCCTGGAGAGGATAGGGACTGAATCTCTCACCAATTGCTAATGATAGGATCACTTGGAGGTTTCTAGAGGGTGATGCACTCAGAGAGAGCACAGAAGCTCCATGCTCTTTCCCGCATATTTTCACTGTATAGCTCTTCCATCTTCCTGTTCATCTGTATTTTTTGTAATATCCTTTATAGTTAATGGGTAAACAAGTAAATCAGTAAAGTATTTACTTGTAATCAGTAATAAGTAATGGGTTTACTTGAGTTCCATGAGCCACTATAGCAAATTAATTGAACCTGAGGTGGTGGTCATGGTAACTCCAAGGTAGAGCTGCTCAGTCAGAATTTGCAGAGGTCCAGATTTGTGACTGGCGTCTGAAGTGGGGGTGAAGGCCATCATGTGGGCTGGAGACCTTAACCCGTGGATCTGATTTTATCTCCAGGAAGGGTCTGAATTCAGGTGAGTTAGAAGACATCTGCTGCTGTCTGCTGGAGAAGCCCCTGCAGAATCCTTTGCTTCTGATGTGTGGAAAGAACCATACAGGTCTGTCACAGAAGTATTCTGTGTTTATTGTTGTGTAGGAGTATGAAAATTACTATTCTTTTCTATATTCTTAGAGAATTGAATGTTTATAGATTGATGACCAAATTGTTAATACATCTAAACTACCAAAATGATCTACATATTTAATGCAATCCTTATTAAAATTTAAATTACATTTTCTTTCAAAAATATTTTTTAAAATCTTGAATTGTTCCTCTGTGTTTTACTGATATATTCTTTGGAGTTTTCTTAAAACACATGTTTTGAAGTCTTTGACTATCAGACCACATATCTTCATGACTTTAGTGTCAATCTTTGGTGCTCTGTTTTTCAAGTCATCGTTTTAAGAATGCGTTTGACACCGCATGTTCTCACTCATAGGCGGGTGTTGAACAATGAGAACACATGGACACAGGGAGGGGAGCACTACACACTGGGGTCAGTTGGGGGGAAATAGGGGAGGGACGGTGGGGGGTGGGAAGCTGGGGAGAGATAGCAAGGGGAGAAATGCCAGATGTAGGTGATGGGGAGGAAGGCAGCAAATCACACTGCCACGTGTGTTACTATGCAACAATTTTGCATGTTCTTCACATGTACCCCAAATCCTAAAATGCAATAAAATAAATGGGAAAAAAAAAAGAATGCGTTTGATGCTTGTGGGCATAAAATAAGCACATTAAATGATTAGGTATTTAGTACAGCTTCAGCAATCTGGCTTTGTTGGTGCTTATTCTTTCAGAGATTCTAAGCAGGTTGGTTATTGTGTTCTCCTGTGGTCACTGCTTCTTTTTCAGCATTAGGGAGCGCTCTAAGCCTAGGTTTGCCACATGTTCAAAGCTGCTGTGTTGTTCTGGCATGAAAGAACTAGAGGTCTTGAAGTGGCTACTCCAATCCACTGGCTTTGCAGGTTTTCCCATGGGACTGGGACAAGCCCAGAGATTCTGTTTATGGTCCCCTGGCTGGGATCAGGCACTTCAGTGCTCTGCACAGTGCAGGGCTTAGCACTGGGCTTCAAGGCAACATGGGCCTGTTTCACTTCCCTTCTTTTAAGCAAACAAACACTGCCTGTATCTGTGCTGTGCTTCCTGGGGCAATGAGAGGAAGAGAACAACAATCCCGTGGCTACCACAGCTGCTGTAATGCTGGGTCACACCCAAAGCCTGCAGCCAGAGATCAATACAGCACAGGGTGATAACTGAGGCCTACACTGCTACAGCCTGCCTGCCACTGAGGTTTATTTGTGTCTCAAGGCTGCTGAAGAGCATCAGTGGTGATGTGGGCTGGTATACAAGACTGTCTCACCAAGGCTGGGAGTATCTATCTGGCACAGTGGCAGGTCCAGTAGCTCTGTTCACAGGCAACAGCCTGGAGTCAAGGCCACTAGGTTTTGCCTTGTGTTGGATTTCACCACGGTCAGCCTGGCACCGGGTTGCCAGGCAAAGCTTTGAGCTCATGGTCCTCTCATTTTCCCTAGTGGATAGAGTCACTTTCTGCACAGTGCTGCTGAGGAATGGTGGGGGCAGTCCCTTGCTCAAAAATGCTTAGCAGGGCAATGCCCAAAGCTCATGGAAATTAGGACTAGAAAAAAACCTGGAACATGTCCCAGACCCACGCTGATAATGTTCTGCCTGCTGCTCAAGTTTACTCATGGCCAATGCCACTGGAGAAGGCCAGAAGTGACATGTGTGTATTTGTGTGTGCATTTTAGTTGTCCATGGAGACACAACATGCAAAGTAACTCACTTTGGGATAATGCATACCACAATCCTAGGCAACTTTACATTTCTGTGGTTGAATGAAGGTTCAAAAACTCTCTGATCTAAAGGGACTACTGATCTAGGCCCTTTGAGAAGTGAAACTTTTAAAAAATACGAAATAGGAAATTGTGATCAATAATGCAGAGTTTCCACTGTGACGTTCCCTGTGTATGGCTTATTCAGAGCTCAACAGAAAAGAACACAAGTAAGCTGGTGGCCTCTGAAGCTCCAGCCCCATGCTCTTCAAGGCTGCAATCCTGTGAGCTATTCTTGCAGTGTCCTTTGATGCAAAATAATGAAAATATTGGATTATCCTAAGAATATCATTTTAAAAGGAGGAATATCTGGGATTACCGTTTTTCTATTGCTGACCCAGAAAGCTGCCAATCCATGGGCTAGCAGATTGAAAAAAAGCGTGACAAAACCATCAGAGATTGTGTAGTTACAGTGAAGGACATGGAGCCACCCCCATTTTCCACAGCAGGAATAAAACACAATTCTAGTTCATAAGGCAGGAATCAGTGAGGGAAGGGGAGTTGGACATGGGTAAAACTGTAGAGCCAATTCACTGTTCCAGTACCGCTGGGCTACTTTTTCACTAATGAACCAAGAAAGAATTCTTTTCTACAACCATTTACTGATAAGCACACATAAAAGACATCATTGTCTGTGAATGCCATTTTTGAAATATAGATGTTCTGATCAAAGACCTGACCTACATTAGCTCGATTAACTTACATATGTGTTCCTTTCGGTACTGTGGGCCATGTGATGTCTTAGTCACTATCCCTGAAAGTTTTCCAATTTAATTTTAGTTGCAATCAATGCCTTGGGTTATTCATTCTAATGCACTTTGCCTTCAGCCCACCTGTCCTTGGTCACCTGGTCTCTGCTCACCCATAATATGTCTGTTTCATTACTCCAACAATCATCTCCTGGGCTTTGCTTTAATAATCACTTAAAGCAAAGTGAGTCTTGCTTTCTGCCCTCCCTTGGGATATGGCCTGGAGACTGCTCCTCCTCACCTCTGGGAGACAACCAAGCTGCTTGAACTGATTTTTCAAATCAGCTCTTTGCCTACATGGTCCATTTTGATTCTATCGGCATAGGCTGAGAATATAGGATACATGTTCTTCAGTCCAATGTCAGTTCCAGTCCATTTTATTCCCCTGTTTTAGCCAAGCATGGCTCCTGCCTCTAAACTTTTATTGCCTTTCCTTCTGCCATCACAGCTGGTTGCTGTTCTAGAGTTTTATCTCCCCCACTGACTAAAGTACAGATTGATTTCTGCATTGGGAGGAAAGAATTTAATTGGTGAGTAGCAGTAACTTTTGTTCCCTTGCATTGAGCAAATTTACAAGCTACCTCCGTATTTCAAAAAATAGGGCCTTCAGGCAGAAGTAACACTTGAATCTGAACATCACCCATCTACCCGAAGCACTTAGCACCCAGTGAAGTTAAGTCGTTACTTGGAAAGCCTTAATAGGCACCATGGGACCCTAACAAACTCATTATTTGATGTGCATAAGCAGTCTGTCAACCATTAATATCTAAAGAACAAAGACGCAATCCAGCAGCTCGCCCCACTTTCCTATCAAGCTCAATTCCTGCTCACTTAATATTTGTTTATCCCAAATTAAATTATTTAAGGCATTTTCTCTATTAAAATCACAGCTAAACTACTATTATATACAATGAAAATATTTTTAGTCTTTCTCAGAAGTATAAGAATTAAATATCAATACTTTAAAAAGAATAAAGGTATTGTGGACTACTGTGCCCCAAAATTCAAACAGCAAACATAGCTCTTATGGAAAGATGAACAGAGAGAGCCCCAAAAGGTCTTGCCTTTCTGTTTTAATATTCTCAGGAGGTGATGAACTGATACAAGTTGTGTCCCAGGTCACTGTATACATCTGCCGCAGCCACAGGGCCCACTTCAGCTCTGCACTGCAGAACTAAAAAATAGCTCTGCATGTTGAAACTGATCAAAGCAAGCTATGCATACTAACATATTGAAATAAATCAAATGTCATAGGATATACAGTCATTGAATAAGGTAATGGAAGAATTTATTTTGCTCATGAGGTAAAAGGAGAAGAAAACTCACTCTGAAATTCTATTAGGAGAGAAGGTGAATCATATGACTGGGGGATGAAACGAATGGAAATCTGAGAAGCCACAAGTAGAAATCAGAAGACTGAGATCTTTAGAAACCTAAAGGTCTCTTTCCAAGCCCTCACTCCCACCCTCACCCCATTCATATGTAATTTGCAAATAATACCAAACTATGTATTTGGTATACAGAGTTATCCAGAGATGGATTTTCCCTTGTACAATTTTTTGACATTTCAATTAAAATTTCACCCCAAAATATCTTTCAGCTGCTGTCAAGAGCACATGCTAAAAATGCCTACAGGCTATTGCTGCTTCAACACCCATAGAAACATAATTAATTATATGTAAGAATAATAAAGAAGTCACACAGAGGTGAAAATGTTCATTTTGATTGACGAGAATTTTTCTTTTTCAGATCTTAAGGATGATGAAGTAGTAAGCTAATTTTATTTTTTGGAGGACACTAGGGCTATTCTTTTTTTTTTTTTTTTTTTTTTTTTTTTTTTTTTTTTTTTTTTTTTTTTTTTTTTTTTTTTTTTCTTTTTTGGTGGGATTTTTTTT